ATGCTAACAGCTGGATGAGGGTACTGAGCCTTCACTTAGGCCCCCCCTTCCGTCTGTCAACCAATCCGTCCGAGCGCTGTCGCGTCGCAGCTCACCAGCCAACGCTTCCTCCGATACCTCGTCCACCACTTCCTCGTCCACTGGTTCATCCTGGAGGAGTAGGATCGCGAGCCTCACGTCTGCAGGCGCATTCTATTCAGAATTCCTAGACTTCCGCCTATATAGAGAGTTTTCCATGAGAACGTTTTGTGAAAGTCTGCACAACAGTAGTCGTGCTGTTGCCGCTAAGGTCAAGTCGGTCAAACGTTACGGGGATCTCTACGGCGTGCCCCATCGATTTCTCATCTTTCACGTTTCTCGGTCAGATAGAGATTTCTACCTTCGCTTGGATCGCCGTCCTGATCGGACAGGTGTCCCATTGTGGAGATTTGGAATGCTGGATTTTGGAACATCAATTGCGAAGGATACGGTATGCGGTGGTGAGGTTGATAGTATTCATAACCCCGCTAATACGTGGTACCTGATAGGCTGCTATCTCTGGCCTCCTTGAGCACCTCCTGGACTACACAGACAAGAAATCTGGAGTAGAGGCTATTATGGTCTTTCCGACCCCAGTTCCTCTATCGGAAGTCGCAGGTCTCCTGAGTGATGTCGAAGCAGAATCTCCCGGATACAAGTTGACGAAGGTAACCGTCAGTGTTCAGTTTCTACCTCATCAGCTGATCCGGGGACATCATCCAGGAGAACTGTTGGTTCTTCGTTTCCGTAGTTCAGGAGATGCTAACGCGCAAGTTTGGGGCAGAATACCAGAAGGGATCTTTGAACTATCCAAATATTGGTTCTCAGTGTCGAAACCGTATCAGGGTCCGGGTGTTTTCTACCATTAAGGACGAAATTAATCTCCTGTTGGAGAAAATATTGAGGCTTACCGCATTGATTGCTGATCCAATGCTGACGCAAGCTATCAAATTCATCCTGAAAGTCGTGGGGGACCACCATGTGAGGATGGTCCTCTTTACGCTAAACAATATCTGACTCACTTTGAGCTAGGAGTCCGGTTATGGCAGCTTTTCCGCGCTCGACGCATTTCGAATCTCTTCACCGATGCGGAAATTCCTTACTGTGTTGCACCTGGCACTTCACGAACATCTGCATGGATGTTCAGGTGTTCCAGGAGCACGGGTGTTCTTGAGCTTCTCCAAGTACGTGACCCAGCCCATCGTTGTTGTGGATGGCCCCACTCACTGTTATTGCAGTACGTTACTTCAATGGCTTCAGGCATGGGAGCGTCTTCAGGGATCCTCGCAGATTTCTGCAGATGACATGATCGAGCTGGTGAAAAGTATCACCAGCCTTTTGGAATCGCCCGTGAGTTTCTCACGTTATCGCAACTGTCAACTAACCAATCTCTCCACCAGCTTGAAAAATATTTTCCTGTGGATCACGGCTCTCCACCCACATACAGTCCGACTGACCGTGCACCCGAGTCCTGTCGAAGACACGAAACCGTACTTTTGGCACTGAAGTTGTTGGGGCAGTGTGCAGAACTGGATCATCTGCCAGAAGTATGGCGGTTCCAAATGAATAGTGCCATTCCGGATCTCCGAAACGCATTCGGAAATCTGATGACCACGCAGCTCAAATTTGTGTGTCGTCACTGGACTACGCTCGTTTGCGAGTCACAAGACCGGGGTACTGAGATTATGGAGGCCTTGTCCCAGTCTGCGCCAGTGCTCCTTCATTGGGTTGCGATGATGGGCATTATGGGCGAAATTGACCGGGCTTGCCAAGGACTGAGGGAATTAGAGCGCTGGCTGGTACGCTAATAACCTGATTGACGATCTCTGACTCACTTCAATGTGTTTGAGCAGAAGAAACCTGACAAGCAAGGGGCTGGTACGCTAATCCGCATAATCCAAGATTTATGTCATTTGGCCACGCAGTCTAAGCGGGCGCTGGCCGCCTCATCCCTCTCTATCCTTAGCAGTGGCCATCGGTTCATTCCGTTGGGTAGCTCATTGCACACAGAATTCTCGGCCACTGCGACAGTAAAATGCCGGATTGTCACTGGTGATATCGATAGCAGCGAGAGATGGTGGCCACTGCATTCACTCAAAATTCACACAAACGGAACTAATTCCGTTGTGTTTTCACCAGACGACCGTCGCTTAGCCTCGGCCTCGTTGGACGGGATAGTGCGTATCTGGGATGCGGTGACGGGAGCGCTACTTCAGGGACTGGAGGGACATGCTGGTCAAGTCAGGTCAGTTTCGTTTTCGCGGGATAGGCGTTATCTCGCCTCGGCCTCAGATGATCGAACTGTGCGTATCTGGGATGCAGCGACAGGAGCACTCTTCCGACAGTTGAAGGGACATACTGATTCGGTCAGGTCTGTGGCATTTTCTCCTGATGGTCGTCTTCTGGCCTCGGCCTCCGACGATTGCACCATACGTATCTGGAATGTGGTGACGGGTGAACCTCTTCGAAGATTGAGGGGACATTCGAATTGGATCAGGTTTGTTGCGTTTTCAAACGATGGTCGTCACCTGGCTTCAGCCTCGAATGATCGCACTGTGCGTGTATGGGATACCGCGACAGGAGCCAGTGTCCGCGAGCTGAGGGGCCATACTGCTCCCGTGTACTCCGTTGCATTTTCACCAGATGGTCTTCGTCTGGCTTCCGATGATCGCAATGCGCGTATCTGGGATGTGACAACAGGGAAGCTTCTTCAAACATTAGATGGACATTCTGGTTACGTGTCATCTGTGAAGTTTTCACCAGATCACCATCATCTGGCCTCGGCTTCGAACGATGGTACTATCCGTATTTGGAACGCGTTGACAGGAATGCCTCTTCGAGAACTGAGGGGGCATAGTGGTGCAGTTTCATCTGTGGATTTCTCATCGGACGGCCGATATCTAGTTTCGGCTTCACATGATGGCACCTTGCGGGTTTGGGATTCTGCGATAGGAGTGCCTCTTCAAGGACGAAAAGGCCATAGCGGTTCCATCTCATCCACCGAATTCTCGCCGGACGGCCGTCATTTGGCGTCGACCTCACAGGACGGCACTGTGTGTGTTTGGGACGTCAGATCCGCAAGGTGCATCAGACAGCGACGGCTAGATCGGCGTCTTCACTCTCGTCGAGTTTCATTCTCCTCTGAGAGCTCAACACTTGATATCCAAGACCTCTTCCCAGATTTAGAAGGCGTATCCAACCCATCACTCTTTCCTCTGCCGTCTACCCCTCTCCCTGTTTTCCTTGACCATAACGCTCTTTGCATTAGGCGGGGAGATGTCCTTCTCCACATCTGTTGGCTTCCCGACTACTTTGAGCCAAGCGCTCCTATTTCAAATCATGGGAGCATTGTTTGCATTGGCGGAAAGGAGGGGATGGTTGCATTCATTGATTTGGATGGACTTGTACCCTCTTCTGTGCAGAATCTGGGTACCTCGGGCTAACCCCAAGATCCCCCTCGAAGTGAAACAAATGTGTCCAAAGCGGGAACACTTGGTCGATTTGCTCGCAGTTCGGTGTTGGACAGAGCTTCGGTCATTAGCGCCGGTGATTCGAGTGGCACGCAGCGAGCCATCGTAGCAGGTGCGCATCCAAAACTCGGTAGCGTCTCCATGCCTGTCGAAGGCCAGATTTGGGACTTGTGGAAATCAATCGTAGACTTGACATGTGGTCAAAATCATGGATGGAAGAGTCAATGAGGGAAGGATAAACAAGCAAGGTGGAGGCGTGTCACCACTATTAGAATATCAACTCTATTTACATTGGGGAATGAGTGGTGACGAAGGATATATGTATATGATGCGTGGCGGGGGGTTTGGTGAAGTAGATCATTTTTCTCATGTCAATTTCTTTTGTACGACAACCTCGCCACTGAGGGATGATCGGAGACAGAATTTTTTTGGAACTACCTCGCCCACACACAAGAGTGCGTTTGCACCTAGAGCACTTCGACATCATCCATATAGATAGGTGGGGCACTGGTTGTGAGAAAAAATAGGGCTATGCACAGTTAGCTCAGACTCGAATAAGAGTTCTGAATTGTAAATGCCTATGCAGCATTAGCGGAGATACATAAGTTCAATTATCTCACCCCAGACTCGAACAAGAGTTCTGAGGAAGCCCGTGAAGGATAGCATGGCGACGGCTCCGACAGGATGTCGAAGCCTCTTTGATTTGAAGCGAGCCGGTAAATACAAAGCAGGCGGCGATGGGGCAGGTGGTGGGTAACGATGAAGAGAACTAGTGCCAACAAGGAGAAAGTGAGGTTACAAAAACAAGGCACAAACCGAAAATGAAAAGCCGCCGTAAACATCCGGGTTCCAACTCGCAAAGGATAACAAGGCTACCTTAAACAATGCAAGACCGAATATTCGACGCCAACCACATTCCCTATAACCAAGACTGATAAGGGAAAATATATGATAGAGTCAGACGCGAGCAAAAGCGTGCAGCGGACGCAAGTGGAAGTGGCTTAGAAGCCAAGGCGTACCGTGGACGCAGAAGAGAAGGCACGGAGGCCGAAGCGTACAGCGGACGCGTGTAAAGAGAAACCGATTAAGTGACGTACCCGATCGAGCAGCAGAAATAAGAAAAACAAAGAACAAGAGCATACCAGACAACTAAGAAAGACTGAACATCGCGGATGATCAGTAAAAGGCATAACGCAATGAATATTGCGTACAGATGAGGGCTTGACCTAGCAAGGGCCCGGGCATGGCGGATACCCAGGAGAAAAACTGCCGGCGCACACTGCACAAGTCATATTTAATCTCGTCCCTCCATTAAATTTAAAAATATAATGCTTCAAGTGTGATTTCATCCGATCGCTGAGTCCTACACCCCGAGGGGATGCGCGAGATGCACTCCAAGCGTATATACAAAAGAGGAGGGCCCACTCCACATCGTGGGACAGTTTGTTCCGAGGCCGTCACCAGTCCTTGATCGGCTAATTAAATTACATATACATAGGCCTTCTAGTAGCGATGTCACTCCCTGTCATATCCATTACGCCGTGGATCACGGACACCTCGACATCCGATCTGGAGGAGCGTCTCCAAGTATCAAAGCAACTGCACAATGCCTGTGTAGATTATGGGTTCTTCTACCTTGATATCTCCGACTTTGCTTCTGCAGAAGAGACAAATGAGCTCGAACGATTGGCCAGAGAGTTTTTCAAGCTTCCGCAAGCAGTCAAGGATGAGATTTCCATCCATAAGCAGGACCATGCCAGAGGTGCGAAACGACCCCGTCACGCCGCTCCCTAAACTAGATCTAGGATATTTTGATAGGATATCAGAGATTAGGGGAGAACATTACACAGGGAAAGCCCGATGGGCAAGTAAAGCTCGGAACTTCACCAGAGCATTTCACGTACATTAAGACTGCGAAACAGCCATGAAGGTATTGACTTTTATGCTCCCGTCGACAATCCCGATCCATCACGTCCGTTGTGGGGCACTAATCAATGGCCGGAGATCTCTGGCTTCCGAACCGAATATGAAAGATGGGTGGATAAGATGAAGCAATTAGGCCTTATTGTCATGGAAGCGTAGGCCTGGTTTGATGGTCAAATTACAGACTTGCTTATAGCGAAGTCGCTCAGGATGGCCACAGGACTTGGAATGGACAAGGATGAATGGCAGGATCTTAGAAGCCAAATGGATGATAGCTTCTGGGTGATGCGACTCATTGGATACCCTCCTCTTCCGAATGATCATGATGGGTATTCTTGTGGGGCTCACAAGGACTACGGGTGTTTAACGTGCGTTATGAGGCTGTCCTTTTCATTCCGAGCCCGACACTAACCTCCGAGCCTTAAAGATTCTTGTATACCGATGACACACCCTCCGCTCTCCAGGTATGGCGTGGTCCAACCAAGGATGAGGCACAAGGCCGATGGATATATGCAGACCCGATTCCGGGCTGTGTCATCGTTAATATAGGTGAGATGTGGGAAATTTGGACGAACGGCCTGTACAGGAGTACGCTTCACAGGGTTATACACCGGGGAAGGGGTTTCAGGTATGAGCTCTGCTTCTTAATTTCCACCCTGTCTCTTGGGGTAATCTTCTAGTCACTCTACACAGAGTGTCAATCCCGTTCTTTTTCGAACCTAATTTCGACGCGCTCGTCCGGTCCCTCCCCGCCGCTTCCCGCGCACTAGACGCCGCAAACTCGAAAGAATCAAGTGTCACCAATATCAGTGGCAAGATATATGAGCCGGTCATCTATGGCGACTTCTTACTTAGTAAAGTAACCAACAACTTTGTGGGGGACAGGAAGGGGAGATATAACTAAATGAGCTCCGACCCAGCATTGGAATTGGAATGCAAGGGACGACAGAGAGAACACATAGTTCATCCGTGCTGGACAGTTAATTATGCTCTAGTCCAGTAGTGATGCACATGATCGGGGGTCCTTCGGTCGCATGAATCGATGGGTGTCTTTGGAGGCTCATGTGTTACTTCACTCCAATAAAGAGTTGTTTCGTGGGTTTGACACCGGGGAGAAATTTGAGTGCCCGCATCCGGCAAAACGAAAAGGCCACAAGGCGGCCAAGAGTCGCACTTGGCAGAGATTTCAGTGCAACCAGCCGGGAATTATCACTGGAAAAACGAGAGAATTCGCGTGGTCACTATCTCGATATCTTCGCTCAAGTGCACCTCGAGCCTGCATGAACACTAAGTGCGGAAATCGGATTCAGTGTTGTTTCACCGGACGAGAGTAGAACAGGGTCAATCCCCTTCTATTTGATTGCCAAGCAACGAGTACCGGTCGCGAACTGATCAGCGTTAATAATCTAGAAGGCCACACCACGTCTGAGAAAATATTTGAGGGGCACAAAAAGTAACTACTTGGCAATTATGAGATGAATTTAAACCCACACTGTTTGAAAGACAGGAGTCTAAATGAATTAATGGTTGCGGGGGTGACTACATAGCTGAAGTATGAGAACGCCGGATGACGGAAATTACAGACGTTCCAGGAACACAGCAGGAACGCGCAACAAAACGCATAAGAAATAGGCCCGTGTGAGGTTCACGCAGAACACATGTACAGGACACACACCTTGTTTCTCATAGGTGAAGAGACGCCTGCACGGGTCTATAAGTGTGTCTTATTGGACAATGCGACGAATCCCAAGAGGGTCGGTCACAATTCCAACTTTCCCACACACCGTGGGAAGCTTGAACTCCCAAGCAGTCATTATAGTTGCAGATCGCTCTGTCTACATAATATAGAGGCTGGGTCCTGCCTAGCAGATCGCCTCGAGAACCACGCTCATTCAATGATTCGCGGGAACGCTCCCTTCATATCTTGTTCCACCTCCTCGGGTCGCGCGCAATATTGAGATGCGGCCGTTCCTTGTGATGGCCTCCCCTGGGTTACTTTTAGAGAGGCTCGCTTATTTGTCGCTTCGTATCTCTAATGATACATCGGACCCCCTTAGACACCCATTGGTGTAATCTCTCGTGCTTGAAGCACATAGCGCGTGCATCCCGTAGAGCCATTTAGATCTCATTTTTCTTGGCGCAACACTATGGTGTGAAATCTCTCATCTTTGCACAGTGGGATCCGGCCAGCCTTTGCTTTAGCCTGCAGCCACGGACTTAATTGCTTAGATCTGCGGAATGCAGGACTATTTAGACCCACGTTTACTCCCCATTATTTTGCACCAGTCCTCGTCCCCTCGGCCGCCGAATCACTCATCCCTTACCCACTGAGAAGGGCCACCATGTCATATCAGGTCAGCCGAATCAGCAGCAGTGATGATACAACTGTTGATCGTGGCAAGCGGCCTGAAGCTCAACATCAGCACGTTCATGTTCATCATCACAACGAGCCGACCGCTGAGGACCTGCAACGTGTCTTGACTCCTGGTGGGCACTGGATTGACTATTCGCAGACTCCCCTTCCTCCAGCACACCGAAAGCACGGAAATCCGGCCCCACTTGGCCTGCTGTCTTTCGGGACTGGGTTCTTCATGGCCAGCGCCTTCACACTGAATGGTAGGTGCATTGTCGTTTCAATCTTGAACATCACTCCCATATCGCGATAGTGCGCGGAGTCCATGTCCCAAATATGGTCGTTCCAGTCCTCATTTTCTTTGGTGGAATTATGCAACTCGGTGTTGGTCTATGGGAGATGGTACGCACATCGTATTCTCGACTTCAGCCTTTAACCATCCTTTGGCGGCTCTTAGTTTACGGGGAGTACATTTGGTGCCACCGTCTTTTCCGCTTATGGGAGTTTCAACCTGACTTACGCTGGGATCTTCTTGCCGGGTAAGCGAGGACATTTGGATCTTCCCCATATACTGACAGATGCGTCCCTGCTGCCGCTCAGCTCTTGGAGTTATTGACGCATACGTTGGGCCTGATGGAAAAATCGATGACCAGTTCGATCAAGCTGTTGCAATTTATCTCGTGATCCAGCCTCTTGCCCAACGATGATTATCCGCTAATCTTGTCCCGGTTAGTTCGCTTGGATGATGGTTTCACTTGTCTTCCTTGTGGGAGCCCTTAGAACCAATGCTGCCATCATCTCAACCCTTGTATGCGCCTCAGTCGCATTCTGCTTCTTCGCTATTCACTCTATGAACGGTAAGTGGGCCTAGGCCCACTCCCTTGCAATTGTTGGAATGTTATTAACGAATTTACTAGCGAGTAATGGTGCGCGTATTGCGGGCAGTGCATTCGGTATTGGTGCAGCGGCATGCGCTTGGTGGGCAGCTCTTAGCGGCTTCTGGACGAGAGACTCTACCTTCACCTGGGTTCGTGTTAATCCAATCGACCTCTCTCGCAAGGATTAAACTACGCGCGTTCGTGAACCTACATTACTCTACGTCCTCATATATTGTTTGTTTGTCATAGAGGCTGGAGTCCTGCCTATATTATCCTCTTGTTCTTTGTTCGACCCTGTGGTGCTTACATAAATGGGCATCACCTGTTGATGATCCGTTTATGGTATTCTTTCCTTCTTTCAACTTGCGGGAAGCTTCACAGTCTAGTATTGGCATATCTGCTTTTGATTCGTATTCTGAGACGGTTCGTTTGTTATTGAATGGTCTGTACATTGTGATTGACTCGCACTTCACTGAGAGAGGAATTGGAAGCTCGGAGCAGCATGTGGCGACGCCCCTCATTGCTATCGTCGTTCTTTGGTACAGCGAGCGGTTACAATAACGTTGAGGGGTTGTAATGGTACTAGTCGACAAGCCCATGGCCAATTTGTTGTAATGTAGCACTCCTAGCGGGCCGGGACATTCGAACGAAGGGAGAAATTAAGATGGTAATGACATTGTAACCGCGCGGCGGTATAAGTAGCTAAAAATATCTGACAAAAGTTATAAGGGAAAATGCAGAGCATAAGGTACGCGCTGCCACACGTAGAACGCTGTAGCGTGGGGTGGCGATGGGACAAATAGCACATGGGCCGAAAAAGTATGATATCTGTGGGGGATATGAACATAGATACGCGCCGTACCAGCGCGTCGTCATGGCTTCCCCCTCCCCTCAAGCCATGACACCCTCCGTCAAAGAAGAAACAGACTTAGAGAACATGGGGTTTGGAAGAGGCTTGGTAAGAATATCAGCTAATTTATCTCCAGAACGAATCTGTAAAATAGAAACATTTCCATGTTCAACGTGGTCGCGAATAAAATGATGACTAATATCAATGTACGGTCATGGAATTGGGGATCACGCCACGATTGTCATTGTTATGCCAATGTGGCGGACAGCGTGGCTGATGGCAACATATTCGGCCTCCAACGTGGCAATTCCCTGTTTCTTCAGCGTCCATGCAATATAGAGGTTGGGAGCGAGTTTGCTAATGTCGATCATGCCATTGCCTTCAGTGGTTGCGTCATGGACATTGCGTGGACCACTGACATCTAGCTCCACACGTTCTCGTGGCCTCACCACCGCTCCTTCTAAGTCCTTCACCGAAAAACTTGCTGATGGGCCAACGTTAGATGACTTTGCCATGTTGGGGAATGCTGAGTCGAGTTCACGAGTGGTTCTCGGAAACACATCGCAGTCAGAAGTCCCTTGAGGGAGGCCTCGAAAACTGTGCTAGTACTAGGGTTTGGAGCTTGGATGGACTGACGTCGCTGAGGTGTGTTGTTACAGCGCATTGCGTAATGGAGAACTAGACTGCTCGTGGGACACCATCCAGGACTTCTCGGTCAGGTTCCTGTAAATGACTAATTTCTTTTTGATCTTGATGCCCCCTTCGGACAAACTTCGCATGCCCATCAGAGCCCCGAAGAACAGCACTGCAGTCAGGATACATTGCTAAACAATCGCAGTAACTGGATCCAGAAGTACCATACACATGTTGGGTAGCATCCTGACGACCGGGTCCCTTTTCACGCAAGGGTGCGGGTCCAGGCTCGTTCCCGGCACACAAAGTGGTGTTAGAGCGGAGTGTGGGCAGAGATCGGTGGTGAGGGCCAAGATGCACTATCTCACTTACTGCATATATAACTTGGTCCTCATCCGAGGTGTTGGAAGCAGGGTAGATAGGGTAGATCTCCGAAACGCGAATCACATTCGATTTTAATTCAATTCTTTGTAGGGTGCTAGCAACCCTAAAGAGCCTGCTGAGGGTCTTTGCTGATGTTTAGCCACACAATGGGCTACCTTGCACTCAAGTCGGGCGAAACCCCCGTGCACGGCCCGGCAAGAAGTGGTGTGAATCTCAAGGCAAATCCGGCGATCTCGATGTGATCGGACACCATTGGAGATGGGAAGATGGGAGACAGAGGAAAAAATCCCAGATCCAGGGGGGTTCCATACACATCCTGCCGGAGGTCTTGTTGGGTGATCTTGACTGGTGCCGAGACCAATCAAGATCGGGAGGGTGTGGCGTGCCAATGATGGGTGTGAAAGCATGTATCAAGGCACGAGAAACGATGCACTTGATAACTACACATGTTACACAGATTTGGCATGAATCTGACACGATGAGATGTTGCCATCAAGACTGAATAAAAACTACAAGACGTAATGCGGAGGTGTGAGAGTTTCACCACCGTTCGAAGTACTTGTGCATCCAGACAAGAGTGCTTCTGAGGGTTCGTCGCACCCGAGTTGCAGCCAAGGAGTTCATTGTTTCATACTTACAGGGAGGCTGGTCACCCTACATTGTTTCATTTCAGGCGGAGGCTGTCTTTGACTCCAGCTTCTATGATTTCGTAATGCTAGATAGTCCCAACCCAACTTCCTGTCGCGTTACGCGGCAACGAGCCCAAGAGTGGTTTCGTCAGAGGTGGTGATCGAATGGTTGTGACAGTGGTGGGCTTGGCAATGATCGATGACCTTGTTATAGGTGACTCACCGCAAGTGGGACGGATATTCCCGAAATTCAATTTACCCGTGGTTTAGGCAAATATTCCTGCGCACGGAACGAGTTCAATTTTGGTGTTGACCAGCTCGGTCACATCGCTGGCGGTAGGATGGCATCCTTCCCCAAGGGCCAAATACTCGAATGTGAAGAGTCATCAGATGTTTCCTTCATCATGAATACCTTAGCGCGCTTCGACCCACCAGCTCCTCTGATGGGAAATTGTTGTTTGGGCGCCGTGTGGTTCAGAGTGACATTGTTGCTTTTCTCTCCGCCTTCTTCGCAGATACTGAGATAGGACTGCGCGATGGATGGGAATCGAATCATCGCATCCTCTCGTCCTATAGGAGGACTGGTGCCGGTTATTCAGTAATTGTTCAGTTGCATGCTTATTCGGGTCAGCTTCCTACTCGCATGCCATGTATACGGGGTTGGTTCCATCTTCCCGGTGTCGGTTGGGGTGTTTGGTCGCAGAATCTCATCATTGTCCAACTTGCGCTTGATGATCTTCATATCTCAGGCCACTTGTTGGATTATGAGCCTCCTTTGGCTCGAGGCCAGATTTTGCGCCTTTATTTTCTTCGACATCACCACGGGACTGCCCCAGGGAGCAGTGTTTGGGTCACTTCCGTTCACCACTCGTCCATTTCCCTCACTCTTAGCCCGTATAGTATCAGCTTTGGGATTGGCGGTGCCCGCAAATATTTTAGGGATTCATCCTCACCATTTTCCCCTTCGTTCTTTACTCCGCAACCATGTTATAACCTTGCCACTTCCCTGCATCCTTACACCCAGATCGTTACTCTTTATCTCCCGCCTACCATGGACAATCAACAGGGGAGTCGTACTGTAGCTGTATTATAGCAGGACCCTGGAACTCTGCTGTAGGAAAAGCGGAGGTAAAAGCTGGGAAAAAACTGCATTTTCAGATGCCCCCAAACCGGAATTCTCTGCAGAACCCCACAAATTTTGCCCGAGGGACCTGGGGATCGGGGGTCACAGCTGAAGGAGAGTTGCTGTGTGAACGCTTCGTGCATGTTGAACAATGTGCCACAGTTCCGGACTTTGAACTGAGCGCATGGAGTTTTTCCGGGAGAGGTAAACGGATGGCACGACATGAGATCCATCTAGCTCCACACTACGGTCCGTTAGCACCCCTACAATTGGTCTCGCCTGAGAATTCAGAGGCAGTGATTGGTCAGGATCAATTTGATTGTGTGCGTTTAAGCGGTGGTTTCGCCAAACGCCGTCCAGAGCTGACATATCAGGGTCCACGGAGAAGCAAGTCCGACCTGAAGGAGAAGGTTTTGCGAGATAGGGGGGTTCTACACTCTCCCTCCTTCTGCCATGGACAAGATTAATCTCACTAGGAAAGTTTCTGACGGTGGCTACAAACTCCTGGCGTCGGTGGGTCTTCAACCCTAACCCGAAGTTCCCCGTTAACCCTTTCACCAACGGCACGAGAAGCAAGGGGCGAAGTATGCGGTTTATTCAAAGTGAGTGATGCAGCCTTTATTTCCGAACCCCTGGCGGCTAACCCTCCTCTAACCAGAGAGAACGGACGTACTCTTCTATTCATTGAGGGTAAAACGACCAGGATTTCGCACGATGATCTCTTGCATGTTGCCAGATCCAGAGGCATCATTAGGCCTTCCACGTCGTCGATGGAGGCATTATCAATCATCAGCGACTTGATTAGTGATTCATTGAGTGAGTGCCGACACTCCCGCTTTCTTGGCCACAAAAACTAATGGGTGCGCCCCCCTCGGCAGCTCCACTCACAGAAGACCGAGAGGATGAAATAGTGCGCAAAGCGTCCAAGTTTTTGAGTTGCTTTGCCCAGGATGGTGAGTCTCCGAGAAAACTGCGTTTTATATTCTTTGGCTCGTGAAGCTCATCGTCGCATTTCATCAGCGTCGTGGGCGACATCGACCCCTGAATCCCATTTCTCCGTTCCGTTCAATCATCATGATCAAACCCAAGGTCCAAAGAAGCCAGATGGAGCGACCCCTGAGACTGTTTTCCTTCGACAACGGTTTCATAATCTCCGCGTTGAATTCCGAATTTCAAATACTGGATACGAAATCCGAGACGCTCTTGCGCAACATGGCGCCAAGGGACAACCATTACTGTTGAATTCAACCTGGAATCTGTTCTTGCGTGCGGGGAAGGGTGCTTCGACCGCAAGTTAGTGTTACGTCCCACTTTTTTTGCAAACATCCCATTGACATTATCTTTTTCACGTCTCGTCCTTCCCTTGACAGACCCTCTTGTCGCGTCGGGATCATTTGAAGATACTCTTACCTCCAATCCAGATGGATGTCCACTGATTTTGCACCGTAAATGGATAGTCGAGCGAATTTCGTCCCCTTCCGATCTGAATCCTGAACGTCTCCGTCTACTTCCGTAAGCACAAGCTCACGCCTCGATGTTGCACATTAAATCACCTTCGCCTATCTTTTTTCTTTCCCCCCCCAACCTCACCGTTTATGCAGTCTCGAAGATTCCAAGTCCCCTCTGGGTGTGGCTCAACGTCATGTGAAAGACTTCCTCCGCGAAGCGGGTGCAACTATGCAATCTTTGGTCGCGCTATCAGCGCTCTTAGCATCCATCAACCCTATCCTTGATGTGATTCTTCATGGACACGCGGCAATTATCGCCAAAGTTGTAGTTTCCTCTATTGGGTCGCTTCTGGCCATTCTTAGTGTGGTTGTCATGATCGGACAAAAGGTGGTCTCTGCCCTAGACGGGGCCACAGGATTTGGATCACTCCTGGGCGCCGAACCTGACGGAGCATGTGTAAAGGAGAGCGATATTACGGACGGGAGTGTCTTGCCGGATTCCCATGGGGATTTCTGGGAAGGCTTGACGAATCTTAGGGAAGATGTAAATGCGTTGCAACAGTCCTTCCAACATGGTGGCCCCTCCCATACGGCGTCGAGTACTGGGTCTGCTTCTTCGGATGCGACGAAAGTAGTAGGGGATGAGCTGTGAGTGACCCTTTGGTTATGGTGCCCGAGCCGACCTCCTTCCTCATAAATCTACCTTGAAGAGTTTAAGATTTGGCGTGTTCTCTCCCTTTCATCATGTACAGATTGACAATCTGAGTTCTATATATGGCATTTATGACAGACTCGCTCCAATTAGCGTCTTCGGCGCACAGTATCCCCCTTTGGTTCGTATTTTATGAACAGACTTTGTCACTGGATCGATCCATGCTGCTGTCCGATCTTCTAGCGTTACGAAGCCTACCATTGGACATCAGTAGAGCTGCTCGGTTCAGGAAGGAAAACTGATCGTACCAGGCTGAATTGTCTCAAATATCTTTTTCTTGGGATTCATCTGTGACACTGGAAGGGCATCTAGACAATGCAATCAGTTGGTGCAACCACATCGTGACAAAGGCTCGATCCTTTTACCTTCGTATTTCTCTCCTTCAAAGTACACTCGCTCACCGGGCTTCGACCCAGGTGGTGGCTCCACAAATTCAATGCCTCCCTCTTTTCCTCCCTTCGAAGAAGCCTGAAGTAATGTTCAGTACCGACAATCACTCTTCGAAGAACAAAACCTACACATAGTACCATCGCGAAGCTTTTGATTCCTCGCATGTTTGCAGGCTTGAGATTAGCCTAGGGAGCGAAGGGTAAGCCCACGATGAATCTTGGGAGGAATTAACCAAGGGTCTATACCACGACGATGATGGTCCGATCTCGCATTTGCTCGATTGGGATGTAATGAACAAGCCCGGAGACTACGGTTCTCGGTGCCTCTTCTCCGATATCAATTTGCTGCGCAAACATTGGTAAATTTAGGACTGTATGAATTAGGTACTTACTTCGACGTATAACCCATCGGCATCAGGATGTCTTTCGACTGCAGGTGATAAACATGAGCATGGAGGGCACGGCCTGACAGTAAAACGAACCTTGTACAATTTTTCCTACTCTCAAGTCGATCATCGAAGGCACTGGCTCTCCTGCATCGCTTCCGGCAGCAGGCTGAGGGGGCACTTTCTCTTTCTTACCTGCGGGAGGATTCTGAGCTCCTCCGGGTGCAGTCTTCTTTTTCTCTTTTTTCCCTGCAGAGACGGGTTGAGGAGAAGCAGATGTAGTACCCTCCGCCGCCGGTGGCGTTGGTGCGGGAGGAACACTTGCTGTAATAGGTTGGGGTTCCTTCCCCTTCTTCTTCTCCTTTCGCGGTTCGACAACACGAGTAGGTTTAGGCGCATTTTCAAGATCGAACTTTAGTAAGGGGAAAATGGATGCTCTATGAATGGACGGAATCTGCTGAATATGGTCAACGTATCGGAGGATCGAAGGGTACGCGTAGATCTCGTTGGGCAGGAGAGCTAACTTTGAGTGATGTGTCAAATAAATTTCGACCTGATGAAGAGGTATAGGGGTGCTTACGATGACAGGGTGAAGAGCAACATAGAGAGCGACGTCCGCCGCTGAAGATTCGTTCCCAACAAAATAGGTTTTAGATGAAAGTGTCGTATCCAACTCCTGATATCGACAAGCAGATGGATGAGAAGTTCACGATGCACGATCTGCGATACAATACCGCACAAACCTTTAACTCTTCAGGAGTGGAGAGTTCAAACGACGAGATGGTTTCCAATGCGGCCAAGACTTCTGGAGAACCTTTACTCGTTTCCATACCGCGTGATTGAATTATTTCTCTGAAACTCTGAGAAAGCCTATAAGAGCCTGATGACATGAATCGCCCAGGAAGTAAGACTAGATTAGGATGCTTTTTAGAAGGGAATCGTAAAACAGAATGGAAGAAACCACGGTGCATCCACTTTTGTACATAGTGACGGTGACTTCCCAGCATTCCCACGTGAGCAAAGAAGGAAATCGGCAATCGATGCGTTGTCCTTCAAACTATGGACGACGCAGACTCACTGGTCATCTCGTCTGACCCTCTCCATGTATGTTTTCTTGCAACACGTGTTCACGCTAACAAGCTCATCGTCTAACAGCCCGCAAATCTCATTCCGGAGCTCTGTCAATCATTCTACCACTTGGGATGGGTCACAGGCACTGGCGGTGGCATCTGCATTCGCGCCGGGCAAGTGATAATCTCTTGTGACTCATTAATTCTATTCATTCTCTAACCAGAGATAAAGCGTAAGCCTTTCGTTCAGACGGACGACAAAATATCCTTTACTGGTGGCGGCCTTAGGTACATTGCACCCAGCGGCGTTCAGAAGGAGAGAATCGTCCCCACGGATATCTTCGTACTCCCATATCCCGCCCCTCAAACACCGTCTCCGCATACAGATCGTGTATTTCTTCGCCGACCCCGTAAGGAACTAAAGGAGTCTGCATGTACCCCTCTGTTCTGGAATGCCTTCGATCTCAGGGGGGCTGGTTCTTGCGTTCACACGCACTCTCAGCACGCTGTCATGGCCACTCTACTTTGGCCCGGAGAAACGTTCGAAATTTCCCATCAGGAAGTGAGCTAACATTGTCATAATCTTCGATGACCGATGTTTGATATGGAAAAGATGATCAAAGGAATTAGGATCGGGGGTATGGGGAAGGCTCTATCGTATTTGGACACGCTGGTTATTCCCATCATCGAAAACACACCTTTCGAGGAAGACTTAAAGGACAGTATGGCTCAGGTGATGTCGTGAATCCAAGGTATGCGGCAGTATCATCTCAAGTGTCGCGATGCAGGCTATGAAAAAGTACCCTGACGCTGCGGGCGTGTTGGTCCGTCGCCACGGAGTGTACGTTTGGGGTGAGCTGGGAACTCGGCTTCCTTTCAACATTGGAACTCAAAGTCTGGTATATCCAGGTGCCGATTGGGAGAAGGCGAAAACACAGACTGAGGTATCCATGCATGGATTAGCGAGCTAGACTGAAAATTTCTGAAGAACTTTTTGCAGTGTTTGGATTACTTGTTCGAGATTTCTGTCAAGATGAAGTTGGTTGGACTTCCCACCCTTCTTGGAGAGCAAGACGGGGCATAGCACCTAGCATGTAGAATTTAAACGAAATGTATAAATGAACCGTGTATTGTATGCCAGCTGTTGACATACCAGCAGGATGTGGGTCTAGGGCGTCCGCCAATCTAGGGATGCGTTGCCCCAAACTTCCCAATAGAACTGTAGCCACCATGAGCTCACGCACGCAGGATCGATCCAGTCGGTTGATCCCCTGTATTCCAGTACATCACAAATATCAGCTCCGATATGAAACATGAGAACATACCCATACTCGGTGAATGTAACGAAATCAGACCTAAAGATCGATTGTCAGCTACGCAATCCATGGCGAGCCACCCACCGAGGATCGCCTGGGTGACAAATAGTTACCTAGCGGTCCACACTGACCAGCCAGCATCATCCCTGGGTGTGAGGCAAGCCCCTCATTTGGGTAAGGCAAAATACATGATGAAGCGCTTACACAACATCGAGTTCTGAGAAATGACACTATGAAAATGGAAAAAGTCAGTCGGATGGCATGTGGGACGTACCAAGCATACTGTCCACATGACCAATTACCAGCAATCCTAGTAACGCCCCATAGTGGAGCGGACAAAAGTCACTAGAAATGGCTGCTGTGCAGCCCTGACCTTGCTTATGATAAGGCTTTTGCATGTGAAGTTAGCGGAACAGGAATGTTTTCTGCCAACATCATCGATCTTTCCCTCAAACTGGTAATATCTTTCTGCACACGGGTGTTCTTTTCCCTTTTCTTTTTGTCTGCCATGAGCACGCTACATTCACCATTACCTGCCACCAGTTAGCTTTGCCAATGCTCTTCATTCCCCTAGCTTTATCCGATTAAACGAATGCACTTTGCACTTCCTATACCCCATCAAACCAACTGGTGTCATGTTGTCTCATGCCCACTTTACACTGGCGTATGATTGGTGGATGCCGCCTGTGGTGGCAAGAGCACACTAAGTACTTTTCCCACCTTTGTTTTTCTTATCCGATTCTGGCTCGTTGTTGGCTTGTGCAGAGTCGGCCACAAGATCAAGGGGAAGAGGGGAAAGGGATGGGCAAAATGTGGCAAAGGCTAGAGGGACAATGAGATCCGTTGGAAGGGACTTCAGATAGTGCTCGCGTGTGAGCTCATACAAGCGGACCATAGGAATAGAAGTCCACTCAGCCTAAATGGTGTCCAGCCACTCAAACACATCCTTACATGTGTTATACCCGACACCCTCGTCCCTATAACTCCACAAAGCCTCGCAACGCACGATCCCAATGACAGCATCGATATATTCACATGCAGAAATCCACCACCGCGTGCGATCACCCAAAACAACAGAAGCCTTGAGATTGTCAGCAAGGACTCCTATCGCATTGTGAGCCTTCTCTATCACCTCATCGCGTTCAGGTGTCTCCCAGTATTCCTCACCACCCCGAGGCAGAATCATATCCCTACCATCAAGCCAGTACATGGCGAGTTTCCACAGCCGTGCGCGAGAGAGAGTGTCGGAGGGCAAATACACAGGTAGAGTGCCATCAGCACGTGAATATCGCATGTGGCTGGACTAGGATGTGCTGGCATGAGTTTCTCAGCGTGCGCAGGCGCAAATATCATGTGTGTTGCCAAAAAAAGCAGGTGGGGGACGTGGAAGATGTGTGTGGAAGGCCCAAAAGTCGTGGGTCTGAGCCTGGGGAGCCGTGAACACAGAGAAGAAAGCGGAGTGGGTACAAGCGCGCGTTTCTAGGTGCGCGTGGGCGTGTGAATTTCGAGTGAGAACGGCTTAATCAGCACAGGCACGCATCTGAGAGTCGCACACGTGTGGATTGCATGTAGGAAAGGTTTCTAGAGCGTACAATCGTGTCTGGAGAGATGCATGTGAGTTTTGAACTGAGATTGGAATAATGAGTGAAGATGAATGCACAGTGAGCCAAACTCATACTTACAGGAGCCAACTGGGTGTCTGAAGTCTGAGTTAACATAGTTGTAACAGTTTTAGCTACAAGCGCTCAAGATAACAATCAATTGTTTGCAGAGGGGCCAGGTGGCTTGCCTTACTGCCTGAGCGGTACTATAGTGAAAGTGGTCCGAATTATATGTCATATTGTCATGGTGACCCTAGGTTACAGAGGATCTTGTGCACAGCACCTTTGGGGCCTAAATTTGCGCTACAGAGTTTGTGGGACAAATGAGCCAGAAAGATCCATTGGAGGAAAGGACACGTGCAGAAAAGCGGTCAATACATTTGCAGAATTCCCACCAATATATTTGCAGAATTCCCACGAATTGTGGACATGCAAGAGACCTTGCAAGCAAGGTAACATGCACTGACACGTGCACTGACAATTTTTCTCGAAAATCTTGAAATTAGTTTGATTATAACGCGGACTAGAATAGAATAATACTCAGTCTCGCGGATGTGAACGCAATGAGAACTGTAATTGGATATCTACCTAGAATAGAATAATACTAGGTGAAGATTTAGAACAAGTAAACGAGTGAACATGATAAAAGGTATACTGACCTCAGTCTTGCAGATGTGAACGCAATGAGAACTGAGGGCGTCAGCGAAGTAAACATCGAGCTTTTAAGCGTCGATTACTCGAATGTAACAGGAGTGAGGATTATTACAAATAAAGGAAAGTGAAGCGACCAACAGGTCGGAAAAAGGAAGATAAATGTTAAATAAACATATAGTGATAAGACAGTAGAGACCGACTAGAAATAAACCTAACATCAATCATCGGGTGTCTCACCGAGATAATATAGGTCGGGTATCCTTGCGCTAAGCGTCGAACCAACTGTTGCTGTCTTACAACAGATTATGGAAATCTGGAATCAAACTAATTTCGTGATGGAAGTAGAAGCATATTTACAAATTAAGTCCCGAGATTATGTCGGTGGTGTCTTGGCCTGATGGTTAGTTTGTTGACTCCTGTTCTATTTGTTGGAGAACCGTGTGCTATGGGAGCAGAGCGAGCATTCTGTACAGCCACGTTCCCACAGCTGCTCATGATTCGGATTCTCCCGGATCCTACAGTCTGACCTACTCGGTTGGACCATGTGACTACTCAGTCACAAGGCTTCCTTTTTCTACTATTTCGGACTTACCCATGCCGGGCCACTGATACATTCATTGAATTATTTCCTTTTTCCTCAGTTCTTGCGCATATAGTGTTAGAGATGGGTGGAAACGGACGACTCCGGAGTGGAATCGGAGACTTAGCGTGGAGGGACCTTGGCCTCAGCGACTCAAGCGGAGCGCTGTGCCATTGCTGTTTGTCCATTTGGTCCTTAATTTCACAGTAGGTGAGCAGGAAGTCTCTTGGGGGCATTTCAGGTCGATTTCGGACTGAAACCAGACGAGTATGTACAAGCGCCGATATATATATAAGGAAGGGGCAAAAGCACAAGGAGAACAAAGGGTGACCGAATCGGAACGAAGACGTCCGAACGGGAACAAAGGGTTAGAGGGAGCGGAGCGGTACCGAAGGTCATAGGGCAAGACCTGTGATACAACCGAAAGGAGGTAGAGTGGGCGAGGCCCAGAGGGGCAGGAGGATGAGGGGAAGTGGGGGTGATGACTAACTGGCTAGAATAGAAAGAAGCAGTAGTCCAAATAGGGATGAGGGGGAATTGCGAGAAATACATTACAAACGGCGAGAGTGCCGGAGGCGGTCCGCGAAGCTCGGGGGTTGCGGAGCTTATGGAGGTTACGGAGGCGGGGTTGGAAGTCCGAGGAATATTGGCAATGGTGTTCACGTAGTATGAGGTCACCAATGCAATGGACTAAGACCGAGGTGGAGTCAAAGTCCGAGGTATGGACTATGATGGAGGCTCGGAGTAAGGTACAAACGGTGTCCGAGTGTGAAGTATGGAACAGCGGTGGATGGTCGTAACTTGGCGGAAGGGTGGCGGAGGAGTGACGGAGGAATGAGAGAGGGGACAGGTAAGGAAGAGTAGTCAGGTCCGAAGGTGGATATCGGAACGGACGGAGAAAGCGTAGGGGGTGGTAAGAGGAGGGGTGTGTTGCCAAGACCGAAGGTGAGTATCGGAAAGGCAGCGGTAGGTTATGACAAGAGGGTGGAGGTCCGGAAGTCGGGTCGGGGTCGGGTATGCACGGATATGACATGTAACCTATGTACAAGTGGGATATATATATGGTTACAGCGGAGACGGTTCCGCAATTGGCGGAGCCGAACGGAGCGGAGCTAACGGGGTTTAACCATTAGCCGACTGAATATTACTGACGAGTCGGTTCGTGGGGTTAGCGGAAAGGCAGGCGATAACCCGGAAACGGAAAGGAGGGATAAGCCCAAAGGTGGGCTCTGCAGGGCAGGCGATTGTATTGCCCAGCGGAGGTGGGGGTGCGCTAGCGGACGTCGGAGCTGTCCAGAAGTCTTTGGGGCTCCGTACTTAGGGAGGCGTAGGTAATAAATTGAAATGAGGGGGTGGTGACCATCGAGGGGTACCGAGAGGATTGCGGAATAACGGGGGCTCCGAGGTTAGTGAGGGAGGAGCGGAGTTGGATCGGAGGGATCGGAGGGACCGGAAGTCGATGGCCGGGAATGGATATGACAACATCAAAAGTCCGAGCTTAGGGAAAAGACGATGTTTGCATAGGATCCATAGTTAAAACATACAACGAAATTTACACGGAAATTATTAAAAATGGGGAACTATAGTTATGCAAATTTTCAGCCCAAACAGTCCAGCTGTTGTGAAGTTATACCCATGACGGGAATATAGAAATCCGCATCATGTGTAATGACACATGAGGGTGGTGATGCGCAGGGAACCGGCCGTCGGAACCGAGATCCGCACTTCGGCAGATCGCGAAGACCAATTTCCGTCCAAATAAGGAAGAGCCCGGTCAAAACAAAGCACGGAAAGTGCAAAACAACCTTAAATCATGAGGGAAAAATCTGAAATAAATCACAGAAGCCCATATGAAAGAAATAAACACCCACGCATATCATAAATCCCGAACAATTAAACGGAAACGGCGCCCGCATACGAACGACTATGGGAATGACGCACGTGATTACCAAATGTGCGCACAAACTTTTGCTAACTCAACGAATACCAGGAAATAGGACACAACGTTGGTACCATTGGAAAGGTGGGAATAAATGAAAATTTATGATACCAAGAACGTGAGAAAACATCCAGAAATGAATGAGATATAGGGACATGAAGTTAGAAACCTGAAAACGCGCGGGAAAACAGCTTCAAGAGGTCCAGAGTCCTAAATAAAATACATAAAAATATGAAATCTTCAAGGACGACCTACTATAACAACGAACAATACATATGGAGGATTATGATGTGATAATACAAAAGGGAATCAGGGAATATGAACGAAATTCACGAAAACCACTAAACTACGATGGTGTCAGGGGACGACTCCCGGGTCCCCATGACCCTCCCCTATGGTCCACAGCCTCTGGTCTGGCCAGCCCTATCC